GCCCGCTGTTATTAGTGTATTCTTCTAGATCTAAAGATCTGATTGGACAATCTAGAAGAATAAACCAATAACAGCAAGCGCTCACTCAACTGTTAAGTTCACTGAATGCGCCCATAATGTACACAGGTGTATACTTACGGACGTCTTACCAAAGCTCTGACAACAGTAACAATACTCCGTATTATTTCTGAATTCCTTAGGAAATTGCAAGAAATGGCGGATCCCAAATACGCTGATTTACCTGGAATTGTAAGTTTTCTCATACCTATTTCACGTTTATTATAATTTTATGCATTTCCTCACGAATAAACAGTTTTATGTCGTACACTGAATGAATGTCTTAGGCGTACGACCAGCTTGACGTTTATGAGACAAGTGATTTGCCAGAATCGGAGCAAATGCAAATGTACTGCGAGGTAAAAGACGTAAAACATGCATTGTACATAACATTTATTGTATTAATTGATCGATTTATTTAGGATGAACCTGATAGTTCTTGCGTGGAACAGCTACACATCAGTGCCAAAGAGGCATTCAACAAGTTCAAGGGCAAACAGATTGTTGGAAAACCGGTTGATTTCTCAGATCGTCTATCTAACAAGCCAAGAACAGGATACAAGTGAGCTATTCTAACAATATGTTTAACAATCTAGAATAATATATAAACACAAGTATTTCCAGATTCGGCGATTGGGAACTTGCTGGTGAAGGTGAGAAAGAGACTCCTCTCCAAAAGTTCCAACGACTACAATGTGAAATTAAGGAATTGTACGAAGAGTTGAATGAATTAAAGGTAAACTATCGTTGTCAATAAAATATGCTATTATATTCATAATAACACTCTAAGAATTATAATATACATTGATAATGTATGCAGGAAAAATCCAAGGATGAGGAAGAGATCAAATCTGTGAGTGAAATCATTGCTCAAGCACAACAAATAGAAAAACAATTGGTTTCTCTGAAATTGGAAGAGTGTTTAGGACCTGATGTAGTTGCAAGTCTATCAGATCCACAAGGCACTATACTTAAGTATGTGAAATTGAAAATCTACTATCTATTATGTACAAATGTCATTTTTCCTTTGAAGAATTGTATTATAGAATGACGTTAATTTTACAGGCAATTGATATCGCAGATAGAATTGTTTAAACAAACCAATATGCCTTCCACCAAAACATCGGAGAGTAAAAAGACAGATGAGTTGGTTGAACCTGGTACTCTTAAGTATCAGATAATGTATTTGCCAGAAAAGGCAAGAATGCAGGAAGCTGCTAGGATCGCACAACTCGAGCAAAGACTTTGCTGTCTAGAAAATATCATAGGAACAAGTAATGACAAGCTTTCGAAATTCTCGCAGGTAGGACTCATTAAAATTTTTCAAGCATACATATTTTAAAAAGATTTGTAATTCATTTTTCTTCACAGAATCTTAAATGTCAGGGCGTCATGGAAGCTGTGCAACAATTAGAAGCGAAGGCTTCGTTGTTAGATGTTAATCAATTAGACACCATCGAAACGAGATTAGGCACATTGATTTACCGAATGGACAGTATTGCACAGAAAAGAGCAACAACGGAACAAGAATCAGAACAAGAGCAAAAGGTAAAACACCAACCGAGTTTTTAACTTTACAATATATCTTGCATAATAAATTATTTTTTTCCCATTTTTTTCTTACAGATCTCGGAAATGTATGAAATAATGAAGAAAACGGATGCTATTTCACAAATATTACCGCAAACAGTAGAAAGATTATTGGCATTGAGTGATATTCATCAACAAGGTATAACTAATGATGATCAACGATGGCAAATGTATTGTCTAAAAATGCATTCTAAGAAAATGTATTGCATTTCAGCTGCTGCTTTCAGTAAATCTTTAATAAAATTAGAGGAGCTGCAAGTAGAAATCTCGTCGGGATTAGAAAGTAACAAGTCTGTACTGAAGGGAGTTCAGGAAAGTTTTGCTTCTAATATGGAGGTCATAAAAAGCAACTTGGCATTGCTCGATGAACGTGTCAAAAAATTGAACAAATTAAAGTAGAGATCGAGTCGTAAAACACAGCTAAATCAATTTATAGAAATCGCTTTATATACTCGGAATCTTTATGTATTTCTATCAAGTTAAGTTATTGTTTATTTAATATGATTTATAAATTCTATATATTTTGCCTTATTATATACAATTATTTCGTTATTTCTTCTTGAATATCTTGTTATAGTATAACATTTAATTTCTACAGTATAATTACTGAAATAAAAGCCTATTAAAGTCATTTAGATATGCACAAATATAAGAAATATAACTTCATGTAATAAAAACATGCAACTTAAAATAAAACTGGAATTTCAGTAAAAAAAACTTACAAAT